TAAATGACATCATACCAAGATATGGTCTACCTATCTCAATAGGCTCAGATAATGGCCCAGCATTTATTTCTAAACTTACTGAAGGTATTACAAAACCTTGGGAATAAATTTAAACTTACATTGTGCTTATCATCCCCAGAGTTCAGGACAGGTAAAAAGAATGAATCGGACGCTTAAGGAGACCTTAACCAAATTCACACTGGAGACTGGCGAAGGTTGCGTAACACTCCTTCTCTATGCCCTCTTAAGGGCCAGGTGTACCCCCTACATCAAAGGTCTAACCCCTTTCGAAATTCTGTTTGGATAGTCCCCACCGTTACTTCCAAAAATTGGACTGGAAAAAGCACTAGAACTGTCTAACCATAATTTGCTTCAGTCACTGCAGGCTCTTCAAAGAGTTCAGCAAGCTGTCACTGAGACTGTGCAGGCAGCCTTCCGGAAACCAGTTCCGGAACATCCATACCCGTTCCAGCCCAGTGACCAGGTCTGGATAAAACGCCACAAAGCTGAGGCTCTCACCCCAAGGTGGAAAGGGCCCCACATAGTAATCCTTACTACTCCTACGGCCATCAAAGTTAGCGGTGTCCACCCCCAGATTCATCATTTACAAGTAAAAGCAGCCACTGCCGCGCCCCCGGAGACATGGAAAGTCTTCAAACCAGCTACTGGAGAAGATCCTCTAAAGATAAGATTTTTACGGCCTGGTATCTTAATCATATTCCTTACATACTTTCCCCAGCTTGAGGCCTATTGGCCTAACCCTCATAATTCCTATACTCCAGGGAACTATTCCTGGGAACTGAGAAATACCATCACTGGGACCGTAATTGCCACCTACAGAGGAAGCAGGCAGCCTGTCTTTAATTTTAACCTTTGTAAATTATGGCCAGGCCTAACCCTCGGGGGCACACACACTGACAAATGCGGCACCTAAGCTTATTAAAAAAAACTTTAAATCTGTTAGTTTTTATGCTTGCCCGGCATCGGGACCAGCCCGTTGCCACAAAACAGGACAATACCACTGTGCTGCATGGGGGTGCGAAACTATTACTCCTTGAAAAAAATCCGAGACCCATACATAAGCCTCATTGGTTATGTTAAAAAATAATGTATCATCAGTAAAATTAATGGTCCTCAAAACTCAATATAATCCCCTGTATAAAGAGTCAATTATTTGACTCCAGGAACAACTGAAAGGGAGAATGTGAAAGGGGGCTTAAAAAACATCTACAATGTCAAAAATTAAACTAAACATGTACTCAGCCTTTGCATGGTTAAAAAAAAATTTCCCTTCCTAGAAACTGGCAATAGCACTTGCTGGCTAGGTTAAACTGTTTAACAGCTTTTTTTTTCCCGTTTCTGTGAACCACGCTTGCATTGCTCGAAAGGTACCTAGGCCTCCAGGATGTTGCGGTTTAGCCCACTTGGAAAGTCCCAATGTGGTTTAGCCTTTCTTAAGCAAGCCCCAACAGCTAATAAGACCCCTTGCTGTGGGACTGTCATGTCCAACAGGGAAGTGGTCGCCGGCCTGGCTCTTAACTAAATAAAACCTCTCCTTTTTATAACTTATACTTTTAGTGTTGGTGTCTGTGAATTAAGCGCTCAGTCCCTATTTCACCACCCTCTCCCAGGCTTGGGACCTCCTCAGCAGTCCCCATATGTGAGGGAACACTGACATCATCACTCCGGGGGGGCTCCTTTGGAGGCTTTGTGCCCTGTGGCCCACCCTGAGCACCCAAAGATCACTTTATTCTGTTGGAATTGGTTTTGTCTTCAGAGCTGATGCCCCCACCTTGCAGTCCCAAGGTCCCACCCCAAGTCTTTGACCCTCTTTCCATGCCCCTACCCCGATTATTATTTTCAGGCCTCCTTTGACTTGGCCTGATCCAAAGTGTGCCTCCTTCTACCACTTTCCACATGTTATTTCACCTCAAGAACTCTAAGGCAGGAATGAGATCGATTAATTTTGGCATCCCCCAATTTGGGAGTACGGCATTGCACACAGTAGATAATGAGCCTATAATTTGTTGTACATTATACTAAAGAAATGAATGCTAGGCCAGGCTTGGTGGCTCAGCCTATAATCCCAGCATTTTGGGAGGGTGAGGTGAGTGGATTGCCTGAGCAACTTAGTGAGACCTTGTCTCTACGATAAATAATTAGCTGGGCATGGTAGCACGCCTGCAGTTCCAGCTCCTTAGAAGGCTGAGGCTAGAAGGATTGCCTGAGCCCACCAAGTTGATGCTGAGCCATGAGTGTGCCACTGCACTCCAGCCTGGACGATAGAGTGAGATTCCAACTCAAAAAAAAAAAAAAAGAAGGCCGGGCTTGATGGCTCGGTCTATAATCCCAACACTTTGGGAGGCTGAGATGAGTGGATTGCCTGAGTCCACGGGTTTGAGACCAGCCCAGGCAACTTGGTGGGACCTCATCTCTACAATAAATCAAAAAATTAGCAGGGCATGGTAGCATGCGCCTGTAGTTCTAGCTCCTTGGAAGGCTGAGGCAGAAGGATCACCTGAACCCAGAAGGTCGAGGCTGTGGTGGCCGTGAGCATGCCACTGCTCTCCAGCCTGGGTAACAGAGTGAGATGCTGACTCAAAAAAAAAAAGAAAAGAAAAGATAAAGAAAAAGAAATGAATGCGAGTCAGACGTGGTGCCTCACACCTGTAGTCCCAGTACTTTGGGAGGCGGAGACGAGAGAATAGCCAGAGCCCACAGGTTCAAGACCAGTGTGGGCAACACGTCGAAACTTCGTTTCTACAATAAATAAAAAAATTAACCGGGTATGGTGGTGTATGCCTGTATTTCCTGCTCTTGGAAGGCTGAGGCAGAAGGAGCCTGAGCCCAGCAGGTCAAGGCTGCAGTGGCCATGAGCATGCCACTGCACTCCAGCCTGGGCAACAGAGTGAGACTCTGATTTAAAAAAAAAAGAGAAATAAATGCTGTTTGTAAACTATTATTATGCAAGGTACCATCATTTCTACTGAAGCTCACTCTAGTAATAATATTTAATATGTTCTATTAAAATGATATAAAGGCTGGGCACAGTGGCTCATGCCTATGTCTTTGGGAGGCTGAGGAAGGAGGATCATTTCAACCAAGGAGTTTTAGGCTGCAATGAACTCTGATCATACTACTGCACTCCATTCTGGGCAACAGAGCAAAACCCTGTCTTTAAAAATATATAAATAAAAAAATAAAATGATAAGAATACAGCATTGACCCCAATAAACAATATTTTATGTAAGTCAATAAATACATTATCAATTAGCCTGAATAAATATTTGCTGTTCAGCATATGTTCTGTTGAGTGATTACAGTATGTGGGTTTTGTCTTAGAAGCACTGAGGATCTAGAGGTGACCAAAAACACACAAATTTCAGCCTTGATGGTGCCTGCATTTCACCTTGGAAGACAGACAATAGATATCTAGGAAATATGCATTATGGGCTGGGCATAGTGGCTCATGCCTGTAATCCCAGCACTTTGGGAGGAAGGCAGAGGACTGCTTGAGCCCAGGAGTTTGAGACCAGCCTGGAAAATATAGCAAGAATATAGCAGAATTTAATTTCTTCTTGCTTATCCACAGTCATCACCCTGGTCCCAGCCACCACCATCCCTCACTGACTTAGGGCCACAGCCTCCTAACTAGCCTCCCTGCTTCTAAGTTTGCCTCCCCTCTTCTCCCACAGAATACACATAGTATCCAGACAGAGTTTTGTTAAAACTTGTTGGAAACCACATCACCTCTCTGCTCTAAGCCCTCCAGCGGCTCCCATCTCACATGAGAAGCTAACATTCATCCATGTTGTACAAGATGCCACATGTTTTGACCTCTACCAGCTCTCTGACTTCGTACCTCCTCACTCACTACAGTTCAGGGGTCCTCAAGACTCCTACATCTCTACCAAAAAAAATTTTTTTTTGGCCGGGCATGATGACTCAAGCCTGTGATCCCAGCACTTTGGGAGGTCGAGGCAAGAGGATTGCCTGAGCTCAGGGGTTCGAGACCAGCCTGGACAACTTGGTGAGACCTTGGCTCTACAATAAATCAAAAACTATGCTGCACATGGTAGCAAGCGCCTGTAGTTCCAGCTACTTGGAAAGCTGAGGCAGAAGGATTGCCTGAACTCGGCAGGTCGAGGCTACAGTGGCTGTGAGCATGACACTGCGCTCCAGACTGGGTGATAGAATAAAGGAAAAAAATAAAAGAATCTGGCCGGGCTCGGTGGCTCAGCCTGTAATCCCAGCACTTTGGGAGGCCAAGGTGAGTGGATTGCCTGAGCTCGTGGGTTCGTGACCCACCTGGACAACTTGGCAAGACCTTGTCTCTACAATAAATAATAATAATAAAAATTAACCGGGCATGGTAGCACGTGCCTATAGTTCCGGCTACTTGGAAGGCTGAGGTAGAAGGATCGCCGGAGCCCAGCAGGTCGAGGCTACAGTGGCCGGGAGCGTGCCACTGCACTCTAGTCTGGGCGACAGAGTGAGACTCCAACTCAAAAAAAAAAAAGAATCAACCCTGTAGGATATTTTCACCTTACTGTAGACATCAGTCAACCTCACGGCAGTTGGCATCGGTATATTGAGTGAACTAATGAATGAATGAAGAGAAGGTCACGGTCATGAAAGGTGTGTGAAGAGGCAGGTACAGGGGGTTAAGGCTCAGAGTTCTGGGGTGTGAGTTGGAGGGCCCTCTCCATGGAGGGGAGAGGAGGCCGGGCAGGGTCAAATCTAAGCTTCAACCTGAGATGGGGGCATGGAGGTTGTTTTTTTTCCAGATATCTTTTCATTTGTCCTATTATCATACACATCTACTTCCTGGAAGTTGAACTGTGGTTAGCTCCTAGACTGGGACCGTGTGACTTACCTCTGTTCCTATCTCTGCAGAAGCTGAGAAGGTAGGGCCTCCATGAAACAGCCTCCACACCTCACACCCACCACATTCACACCTGCTCCTGTCTACCCCAATCCCTCAAGGATCCACGCTTTAGTAGTTTCATATCAGTTTTATTAGCCCCCAAAAAGTTGCTCTAATGGGTATTCCATTTTTCTAACAATCTGCCTGGCAGGTGGGGACTTGGGTCTTCTCCACTCCCCCTCCTGTTCCATTCCTTCCTCCTTCCCACTTAGGACACAGGAGCCAGCCCCCACCCCCACCCAGAGTCCAGGACTGAGCCCCCTCATGCCTCCAGGAACCAGGATTTCAGGTCTCTAGACCCTCCCCCTCCTCTTCAGTGACCTCATTTTAACTTCCAGATGAAGCCAGGGGACACATTTGGGGTCAGCGAGGAGTGGACAGGCGCCGACATTCATGCATCCGGTAGGCACACATGTAGAAAATTCCTGCATGAGAAAAGATCTCAGTTGACCCCCCAACTTCACCCAGCCCCTGTTCCCAACCTGAGAGACCCTAACACCACACTTCCTTTCTTGCTAGGTGTCCACAGTCTCTAGACTCCTAGGGCCTAGTGTATGCCTCCTACCCCAGTGCTGTGGGATCCTTGTGGGAGAACCTGTTATCTCATCCTCTGAAATGCCACCCTCTCTTCCCCAGACACTAGCCTGCCAACCCCTTGGCCCCCCATACCTGCAAAGAAGGTCATGAGCAGGGCCACCCAGCCCAGGATGTAAGACCAGGAAAAGCGCCAGTCCCCGAAGCGGCGGCCTAGGAAGCTGACGGTGACTCCAGTGTAAATGCCCAAGGCCAACAAGACAAAAAGAGCTGGAAGGAGAGGGCAGGAGGATGTGGATGGGCGGGATGGAGGAAATTTAGAGATGGGCAGGGGATGGATGCGGTGGCTCATGCCTGTGATCTTAGCACTTTGGGAGGCTGAGGCATGAGGATCACTTGAGCCCAGGAGTTCGAGACTAGGCTGGGCAATATAGATCCCATCTCTACCAAAAAATAATGTTTTTTAAGTCAGGGTCTCACTCTGCCGGCCAGACTGGAGTGCAGTGGCACGCTCACGGCCACCACAGCCTCGACCCACTGGGCTCTGGCGATCCTTCTGCCTCAGCCTTCCAAGGAACCAGAACTACAGGTGCATGCTACCACACAGCTAATTTTTTATTTATTGTAGAGACAAGGGCTTGAGCCCTGCCAAAAAAATTTTTTAATTAAAAAATCAGCCTGCTGGGTGCAGTGGCTCATGCCTGTAATCCCAGCGCTTTGGGAGGCCAAGGCGAGAGGATTGCCTGAGCCCAGGGGTTTGAGGCCAGCCTGGGCAACTTGACAAGACCTCGTCTCTACAATAAATCTAAAAAATAGCCAGACATGGTGGCATGGGCTTGTGGTTCCAGCTACTTGGAAGGCTGAGGAGGAAGGCAGGTGTGAATGTGCTGTGAGCATGCCACTGCACTCCAGCCTGGACAACAGAGTGAGACTACAACTCAAAAAAAAAATACAAAAAAAAAATTGTGGGCAATATCTTTGGGTCCCCTCTTGCTGCCAGGAGCTTTTCCATCCTCTAATAAATTCCTACTTATTCACTCAAAAAAAAATGGACTGGTCATTGTCACTGGTTCCTGGAAGGGAGACTAAATACTTGGAATTTCCTGCCTAACAGGAATGTCTTTGCTATTCTTGAGTCCCTTGGACCACACCTGAGTTTATGTTAATGAGCTGACTCTAGGTGAGGACTGGTCACCAGAAAGACTAACCATGTGATGAGAAGGTTGGACCTCTGAGTCACTTGATATCAGCCCAACCTCTGGGGAGCAGAGGGAAACTGGAGATTGTGTTCAATCAATCATGGCCATTTAATGAAACCCCAATAAAAACTCTGGACACCATTGGGCACAGAGGCTCACACCTGTAATCTCAGCATTTTGGCTGAGGTGAGAGGATTGCCTGAGCCCATGGGTTTGAGACCAGCCCAGGCAACTTGGTGAGCCCTAGTCTCTACAATAAATTAAAGCATCAGCTGGGCGTGGTGGCAGAAGGATCACCAGAGCCTGGCAGGTCAAGGTTGCAGTGGCCGTGAGCATGCAACTGCACTCCAGCCTGGGTGGCAGAGTGAGACTCCGACTGAAAAAAAAAGAACCCCCAAATTTGTAGCCAGTTGGTCAAAAGTAAGAGTGGCCCAGCAATCCCACTTGCAGGTCATGTCTGAGATGGGGGACAGTCTTATTAGGGACTGCACCCTTCACCTGTGGAGTCTGACACTAATTCTGGGCAGTTAGTGCCAGAAATAAACTGTGGTATACTCACTGGTGTCAGAATAGGCTGGAATTAGAAATAGGCTGGAATTAGAAATAGTCATGAGGCTGATCTTGGGGGTGAAGGATTGGGGTTAGAGTGGGAATGGAGCTCAGAATGAGGAAGAGAAGGGGATAAGAACGGGGGTTGGGAACAGATTGGAGTTAGAGATGGGAGTGAGTGGGGGAACAGGAGTAGGGTGGGCCCACTCACTTGAGGTGAAGAACATGATGCCGGCAGAGAAGGGCCGGGAGAGGCGGCTGAAGGCAGGCTGCTGAGCGAAGGCCAGGATGCCCATGATGATGCCAGAGGTGGCGCATAGGGCAGACAGGATCATGAAGGCCCGGGTGGCATTCCAGTACGCTGCGGGAGCACCCTCAGTCACTCTCGAGTCTCCCCTGTTCTCAGTGAGGGATGCTGCTACCTCTAGAACAAAAATTGCCTGCCCCTCCCCATATCCCTGACCCAACTCCCCTTTCACTTCTCAGCAAATGTCTTTTTCTTCACCTGGTCAACTTCTACTCGTCCTCCAAAGCCCAGCTCCCAAAACCTCTCCTCTGGGGTGCCTTCCCCCACCCTTCAGGCATCATCTTTACCCCCTACCCTGAATTGTGACTCTTGTGTCTGTCTTCCCCTCCAGTTCTGAGAACAGGAACTGGGTTGACTCTGTGTCACCAGCACCCCCAGCATGGGTTTGGTTTGTGACTTGGGGAAATGTTTGTTGAATGAATGAAGGGAGTAATGAATGCTGATTCCTCACAGCCTCCTGCTAATTACTCTTTACCCTGTCTCATGTTTCTCTTTCATTTCCTTTATACCACTTGCTCATAACTGAAAATATCTTTAACTCATTTGTAATATTTGTCTCTCCCAGTTAAATTCCCAGCTCTGTGAGGGCAATGGCCTTGTTATCTCTTTCACTGCTGTATCCTTACCACCTAGCACTTGGCATAGACTAGGTACTCAGAAGCATGTAAATGAATGAATGTTGAGTACTGGGGACCATTCCTCATTCATGTTATGCTCAGGGCTGACTCTTCAGGGGACGCTGTGTGGACCACAGTCATAATTTCATCCTCCATTTAGCAACACCAAATATGTGCCAGGCTCACTTACAGGTATGATTTTTTTTTAAGTTGGAATCTCATTCTGTAGCACAGGCTGGAATGCAGTGGCATGCTCACAGCCATCACAGCCTCATCCTGCTAAGCTCAGGCGATCATTCCAGTTCAGCCTTCCAAGTAGCTTGAACTACAGGCATGCACCACCAAACCCCACTAATTTTTTGATTTATTGTAGAGACTAGATCTTGCCAAGTTACCCAGGCTGGTCTTGAATACCTGGACTCAAGCAATCTTCTTGCCTCTGCCTCCCAAAGTACTGCTGGGATGACAGGTGTGAGCCACCGTGCCCAGCTAGGTATGATCTTATATATTCCTTCCAAGAGCCCATGCTATATGTAGGTACTATTTTTATCCTTATTTTTCAGGTAAAGAATTGAGAGTCAGAGAGGTCAAGTGACTTGCCCGAGGTTCCACAGTTAGAAGCAGAGCTGGAGTTGAAACCCCAGCTCTTGCTGGGTGCAGTGGCTCACATCTGTAATCCCAGTGTTTTGGGAGTCAGAAAAGAGAATTGTCTGAGCCTAGGGATTTGAGATCAGCTTGGGTAACCTGGTGAGACCTCGTCTCTACACTAAATCAAAAATTTAGCTGGGCATGGTGGCACGCACCTGTAGTTCCAGCTACTTGGAAGGCTGAGGCAGAAGGATCACCTGGGCCCAGCAGGTTGAGTCTGCAGTGGCTGTGAGTGCACCACTGCACCCCAGCCTGGGCAACAGAGTGAGACGCCAACTCAAAAACCAAAACCAAAAAACAAAGAGAATGTCCTTATAAAAAGTGGAGATTTGGACACAAACACACACACAGGAAGAACACCATGTGTGTTGGAGGTAGAAATGGGGGAAATACATCTACAAGCCAAAGATGGCCAGCAAAACACCAGAGGCCAGGAAGGAAAAGATATAGGTGGTGATTCCTCACAGCCTCCAGAAGGAATCAACCCTACGACACTTTGATCTTGGACTTCTGGCCTCCAGAACTGTAAGGCCATACATTTTTGTCATTTAAGACACCTGCCTGAGTTACTTTGCTATGGCAGTTCTAGAAAACAGTACAGGCCGGGTGCAGTGGCTTGACCTGTAATCTTAGCAGTTTGGGAGGCCAAGGCAGGAGGATCACTCGAGGCCAGGAATTGAAGGTAGGCCAGCCTGGACAACAAAGAGAGACTCTGTCTCTACAAAAGTTGATAATAATAATAAAGAAAATTAATAATACAGATGTCTCTGGGTATCTAAAATCTGGAGAACTCCTGGGCATATTACAGTATATTTTTTTCCTATGGTTTATGCTAGAAGTGGAAAATGCAAATGCCTTTGAGGACTGGGTGCATCGGCAAGTAAGGACAGGGATCTTCAGGAGGACAGCATAAGGACAGGGATCTTCAGGAGGACAGCAAGCGGGAGGTGGAGTCTGGGATGCACTGGTTACATCTGTTCCAATATGGATTGTCAGTGCATGGCCTCTCAGCTCCATCTTTATTTATTTAGTTAATTAATTAATTAATTAATTATTTTTGGGGGGGTCCATATTTATTTATATATTTATTGAGTCCATCTTTAATTAATTAACTAATTAATTTTTGGAGTCGGGGTCTCACTCTATGCCCAGGCTAGAGTGCAGTGGCACGATCACCATTTACTGTAGCCTCTACCTCCTGGACTCAGGCAATCCTTCTGTCCCTGCCTCCCGAGTACCTGAGACTACAAGCGCTACCACGGCTAGCTAATTTTTTGATTTTTTGTAGTAACAAGGTCTCGCTATGTTGCCCAGGCTGGTCTCGAATTCCTGGGTTCAAGCGATCCTCCCGCCTCGGATTCCCAAAGGGCTGGGATGACAGGCGCGAGCCACCATGCCCCAGTGGGGGCAGCTCCATCTTTACAGAAACCTTCTTTATTCAAATGACTGTGTGGCTTCTGTCTCCAAAGGGACCATGACTGGTTAACCCCATTTGAAGGGAAGGGTAGCTGTTGCTCATATCCAGATAACTGAAGTACTGGGAGTATGCAAAATTTGAATTTCTTCTTTTTTTTTTTTTGAATCGGAGTCTCACTCTGTCACCCAGACTGGAGTGTAGTGGCACGCTCACGGCTGCCACAGCCTCGACCTCCTGGATTCAGGTGATCTTCCTGTCTCAGCCTTCCAAAATAGCTGAAACTACAGGCATATGCCACCATGTTCAGCTGATTTTTTTTTTAATTTGTTGTAGAGACGAGGTCATGCCATGTTGTTCAGGCTGGTCTTGAACCCCTGAGCTCAGTTAATCCTCTCGCCTCTGCCTCCCAAAGTGCTGGGATGACAGGCGTGAGACACTGTGCCTGGTGATTTTTTTCTTTTCTTTTTTTTTTTTTTGTTTTGAGTAGGAGTCTCATTCTGTTGCCCAGACTGGAGTGCAGTGGCATGCTGCTCACAGCCACTGCAGTCTCAATGTGCTGAGTTCAGATGATCCTTCTGTCTCAGCCTTCCAAGTAGCTGGAACTACAAGCATGCGCCACCACGCCTAGCTAATTTTTTTTTAATTGTAGAGATAAGGTCTCACCAAGTTCCCAGGGCTGGTCTTGAACACGTGAGCTCAGGCAATCTTCTCATCTCAGCCTCCCAAAGTGCTGGGATTATGGGCGTGAGCCACCGTGCCTGGCTTTCTTTTTCAAAAAGAGCTTCAAGTCCAGATTTTTAGGTAAAAACCTCCAGATTTGTAAATACCCAGGAGCTCAGAAATGTTAAAAACACCAGGCAGGCCTGGTCACGCCTGTCATCCCAGTACTTTGTGAGGCAGAAGCAAGAGGACTGCCTGAGTCCAGGGGTTTAAGACCAGCTTGAGAAACATGATGGGACCTCATCTCTACAATAAATCAAAAAAATTAGATGAATGGCGCATGAATGTAGTTCCAGCTACGTGGAAGGCTGAGGCGGAAGGATCACTGAACCCAGTAGGTCGAGACTGTGGTGGCTGTGAACGTGCCACCGCACTCCAGCTTGGGTGACAGAGTGAGAGTTCAACTCAGGGGAAAAAAAAGCGGCAGACCAAATAAAATGCATCTGCTGTTGGTCTTGGCTCCTGGAAGCAAGTCAAGGCTCTTGCTCTGATTCTGGAGAACAAATGACAGTTGGTGAGCCAGGAGAGCCAGCCACTGTGACAAACACCCCAGAGCCGACTGGGGTGACGCATGGCCCTGAGGTTTTCAGTTTTGTGGTCGTGAGAATGTCAAATAAACTGCAGACTGTCCCCAAGCCTCTCTCTCTCCCCTGTTCTATGACAATATGATATGGAGGTGACACAGAGCTGCCCCTGGGGAAGCTCCCCTTCGGAAGCAGAACGAATGTTAGTGGTGTCACAAAGGAGACCAGCCGAAATGAGAAGGATGTGTGAGGACAGGCAGTCTGGACACCGAAGTTTGCGGGCCAGGGCAAGGCTTTCCACTTCTCCCTGCCTTGGTCTAACCCGCCGGCAAACAGGCATGGGGTTCCCTCTCTCAGGACTGGCTCAGTGAGATGGAGTGACCTGGATCTTCTTCTGCACATGTCTGTCAGTCAAGGGCTCAGTGAGATCGAGTGCTTCCTTTCAATCTCCTCAAGAGTCTGTTGGAACTTTGAGGTCAAACCGCATATCTGCGTTATATATACCCTGGACCCATCCTCTTAGCGATGTTGGGAGATGGAAGGGTATTAATCCGTGTCAAGTGCTTTGACTAGCACAGAGGACATAGTAAGCACTCAATAAATGCCAGTTGTTATTATTACGAGTACTATTAGTAGTAGTAGCACACAATATATTATATATTATTAACTTATTAATATAGTTTATAATTAATGTATAAGATATCCTGTTATAAATTATTAATCTAATATATATATATTATTATTATTATTTGAGTTGGAGTCTCACTTTGTCACCCAGGCTGGAGGGTAGTGGCATGCTTGCGGCCATTGCAGCTGTGACCAGCTGGGCTCAGGTGATCCTTCTGCCTCAGCCTTCCAAGTAGCTGGAACCACAGGCACGTGCCACCATGCCCAGCTAATTTTTTAATTTATTGTAGAGATGAGGTCTCACCAAGTTGCCTAGGCTGGTTTCGACCCCTCGGGCTCACGCAATCTTCTCACCTCAGCCTCCCAAAGTGCTGGGATTATAGGCATGAGCCACTGCGCCCGGCCTAGCATTTTCTAAATATCTGCTGTGGACCAAAAAAATGACATGAGGTACTGGGGAATACAGAAGAAATATGGACCCTAAATTTGCTAAGTACTGGATTAAGTATTTTTTGCTACTATATGTCATGCCATATACATATAGAGATAGTGATAGATACACAGAGACATATAGTATATTACAAGATATTTATAATCTCTAAAATATAATATATTAATAAATTGATAACATATACTCTATCATGTATAATATGTGTAATATACCATATATGTTAATAAACTAATATATAATATATTGTGTATAATATATTACAGAATAAATTATATAATAAATTAATATATAACATCTTGTGCTACATATATAATATATTATAATGTATAGCATATTAAGCATATTAAGCTACTTGGAAGGCTGAGGCAGAAGGATCATCTGAGCCCAGCAGGTTGTGGCTGCGGTGGCCATAAGCATGCCACTGCATTCCAGTCTGGGCGACAGAGTGAGACTCTAATTTTAAAAAAAATGCTGTTCTGGTAACCCCAACCCCAGCTGCTGTGCCTGACACCTTTTACATGTTAGGAAATGCCACCTCTGCTTGCTTAACCTCCAAACCAGCACACGGGTAATTGCAACTAGAAAACAACCCTAAAGTCCCGGCTCTGCCCCTTCCATGCTGAATGTCCTGGGCCGGTCCTTTTCCCTCTCTGAGCCACAGGGTTTTCCCCCCTTGGACCCCGCTCTGACCCAGGCACAGCTTGACCCCAGCCGGGAGGCTCACCGATGCTCTCAGTCTGCAGGTAGCACTTGCTGCCTAGGCAGTACCGCCACAGGCCCTGGTGGGCGAAGGACCCCGACAGCCGGTACTGCATCCAGTGGTCTGTCGCTGTGGCCACCACCAGGAGGATGGTCCCCACCCAGGCACAGAAGAGGCCACCACCCATGAAGCTGTACATGGTGACCTGTGGGCAGTGGGAAAAATGGAGTTGGCAGTTGGATTCCTGGGTCTTGGTAAAGGAAGGGACTGGATTCCTGGACACCTGGGTCCCCGGGGGAGGAGGAGGAGGAGACTGGAGGCCCAGACTCCTGGGCCTGAGGGAGGAAGGGCTGGGGACCTAGAAGGATCAGCGGGAGGAGGGGCTGGGTTCCTGGACCCCCGGTCCTGGGGGAGAAGGGTGCGGGGGCTGGACTTCCAGGTTCCAAGCAAGAAATACGCTGGGAGCCTGGATTCCTGAGTCCCATGGGAGGAAGGGGATAGGGGCTGGGACACCAGGCCCCCTGGGAGAGAGACCCCTGAGTCCTGGGAAGGAGAGGACTACAGGACCCATGCCTGGTGCCTACCTGAGCGGCAGAGCCTGCCCTGAGCCCTCCTTCTGCCGCGGCCCCTCTGTGCAGACTGAGCTGAGCCAGGTCGCTGGCCTCTCTGTCCCCTTGGGTCCCCCAAATCCCTTAAGCCTTCCCACACAATAGCCCCATGGCCCAGCAGCTTCCAGCAGGCAGAAATGCAGTGGTGGCAGAGGCCTCGATGGAATTCGCTGAAGCAGGGGTCCAAGTGGCTCCCTTCCCCCAGCCCCCGGCTCACTGGCCTCTCTCTCCGTGACTATCCCCCAGACCCTAGTGACTTTTCGCTGCCTGTCCTGCTCATGACGCCTGCTGGGTTCACCCCAGCTGTGCAAACAGACACAGACACATGAGATACAGGGACAGTCATCATTTATTGTTTAACCAGGGTCTCCCACCTGAAGGGCAGGAAGAGTGGCGGGGAGGAGCCCTAGGTGTCAGGATACGTTGGACCAATGGTTTTTTGTGGGGTGGTGTCATGGAGTGGGGGTGGGGATTAAGGGTGGAGATGGGCTGTTGGGAACTGGAGTCCAGGATGACTTTAAAAAGGAGAACTGGGTTCGGCTGAGGTACACAGGGAATGAGGAGGGGGAAGGTGGGAATTTGGGGACTGGGGACAGGAATGGGGACCAACAGGCTTGGGAATATGGTACTGAGAGTGGGAAAGGGACTGGGTTTGGAGAGGCACGTAGGAGGGGCTTTGGGGCTGTGGCTGGGGTTGCAGGAGCCCTGGGGTCGAGAATGAGGTCAGGATTATAGTTGGGGTTGGTGCTAGGAACGGGGTTGAGACCACCGAGGGAACAAGCATAGGTTTGAGGTTTAGGGTTTTTTTTCTGGCTTGAGATCCTAAGCCAGGTAACATAGGTCAGATTCACCAGGACAGGGGAGGACAGGAACAGGATGTTTCTGGCAGAGGTTTGGGGGGCTTTTGATGACAGGGCTAAGGTCACTCTGGGCTCCAGGAAAAATGCTCCCAGGTGACCGAGTCCTGGGTACTTGGCTCTCCAGGGACCTAGTACTCTGTCTCCCAGTCCTCAGTAGCTGGTGGCGTGTCCAAGGGTGGCTCCAGACCTTGGGTGTCCTTCTTCCCATCCTGGGCAGGCAGTGCTGGTGGTGATGGTGGCACCACCGGTGGGGTCCTGGGGCCAGCCCCAGGGCCCCCTGCATAGCCCCTCTCTGCTGCTGGCTGCTCAGCTTTCCAAGGGCTCCATCGCTGCTGGCCCCAGCCCCGGCCCCGGCCCCGGCCCCGGCCCTGGCCCCAGCCCGGCCTGCCTTGGACATCCCACTCCCCACGTCCCCTGGGAGGCCTCCTGGCTGTGCCCGGGTGGGTGTGGCATGCTGGGGGGCAGCAGGGACAAGAGGAGGGCAAGGACTGCTGCAGGGTGTAGGCCCCGAGGAGGGCACTGTGCAGGAGGCAGGAGAGGGTGTCCAGACGGACAGGGATGGTCACGGAGGCCAGGCTCTCAGGGAGGCCCAGGTGGGCGGGGTCTGGGGCGCCGGGGAGCCAGGGTGGCAGGGCTGGGAGAGGCACAGGGGGCAGCGGCTCAGTCCCAGGTGATGACAGGGACAAGCTGTTCCTAAAACAATAAGGACACAAGTCAGTGTGTCTCGCCATCTTGGTCTGTCTTTCCCTACTACTGCCTGCCTGATTGCCTCTGTAACTCTAACAGGAGGGCAGGAGGCGCCCTCTCCCCAACCTCTGTTCTGTGTCTACTTCTTTTATTTTTTATTTTTGAGTTGGAGTCTCCCTCTGTTGCCCAGGCTGGAGTGCAGTGGCATGCTCACGGCCACCACAGCTTCGACCTGCTGGGCTCAGGCGATCCTTCCGCCTCAGCCTTCCAAGTAGCTGGAACCACAGGCGCACGCTACTATGGCCCGCTAATTTATTTATTTATTGTGAAGATGAGGTCTCGCCGTGTAGCCCAGGCTGTTTTCAAACCCCTGGGCTTAGGCAATCTTCTTGCCTCGGCCTCCCAAAGTGCTGGGATTACAGGCTTGAGACATGGGGCCGGCCTGTATCTACTTCTTTCTACCTCCCTTCTCCCCCTCCTTCCCGTTTGTTTCTTTTTTTTTGAGTTGGAGTCTCACTCTGTTGCCCAGACAGGAGTGCAGTGGCACGCTCCCAGCCACCACAACCTCGACCTGCTGAGGTGCGGAGATCCTTCTGCCTCAGCCTTCCAAGAAGCTGGAACTATAGGCACATGCTACCACACCTGGCTAATTTTTAAAAATTTTATTATAGAGACAAGGTCTTGACAAGTTGCCCAGGTGAGTCTGGAACCTACGGGCTCAGGCAATCTACTTGCTTTGACCTCCCAAAGTGCTGGGATTATAGGCTGAGCCACTGAGCACAGCCTAATTTTTAAATTTGTAGAGATGAGGTCTCCCCAAGTTGCCCAGGCTGGTTTTGAACCTGTGGGTTCAGGTAATCCTCTCACCTCGGCCTTCCAAAGTGCTGGGATTATAGGTCTCCCCTCATTTGTTTTTTTGCAGAGAAACAGACAACCCTTCTATCAACTTCAGCATCATACATAACTCAGTTCAAATGCCAGCCTGCCTCCTGTATGGTATGTCTTTGGGCAAATCATTTTCCTGTTCTGAACCTTAAATTTTCAGATTGAAAGAAAGAAAAAAATAGGGAGACAGCTACAGATGTTTGTCCAATAGAGATATTTTCACGAATGAGACTTGAAGATGCCAGGAACGGCAAGAAGCCTGGAGAAATCTTTTTTTTTTTTTTGAGTTGTAATCTCACTCTGTCACCCAGGCTGGAATGCAGTGGCATGCTCACAGTCACAGCAGCCTTGACCTGCTGGGTGATACTTCCACCTCAGCTTTCCAAGTAGCTGAAACCACAGGTGTGTGCCACCATGCCCAGCTAATTTTTCGTGATTTACTGTAGAGATGAGGTCTCACCAAGTTGCCCAGGCTGGTCTCGAACCCCTGGGCTCAGGCAATCCTCTCACCTTGGCCTTCCAAAGTGCTGAGATTATAGGCATGAGCCCCAGCTCCCGACCTCTCTTCCTGTTTCTAAGTATCTCACTCAACTCTGTCCCCAGGACCTAAGATTTTGTTTCCATGTAATGATACCCGAGCCTTTTCCCCCCTGATACTCTGTAATTCTGTTCAACTGATTTTCTATCTCCTTCTCTCCCGGTCAGGAGGTCTTTGTCTCTCTCACCCTTCAGGTTCAGCCTCGTCCTTTTGCTGTTCCATCTTCACAGGGGTCTCTGAATTCTTCTCGCAACTTCCCCTAATCCTCCTAGGGACCTGGAGATTGGTGAGGGGCCGAGGAGGAAAGAGGGCTGGGTTTTTGCCAGGTCACAAGAAGGGCGTGGCTCGCGGCGGGCGCAGAGGCGCCGAAAGAGCGTAGGGCCGGGCCTGGATCTTGTTGAACGCCCACGCTTCGCAAGACACAGCCCCCACCTCCCAGAGACTTAGGAATCCAGACCCCAAGTCCCTCCTCCCTCAGACCCAGGGGTCCAGGCCTACCTCAGAAGACTCTGGGTCCGTAGTCTCCTCCTGTCTCTTTCTTCCTGCCTGTGTGCCCTCAAGGCGATTCTTGAGGACTAAGGGGACATGTTAGGCAGGGAAATATGAACATTTGGACACTCCCCAGGGCAGAGGACATAGATGGTCCGGGAGTCTCTGCCTCTGACTTGCTTTGTGACCTTAGGCCTTTCTAGGTCCCATGCCTCAGTTTCCCCATCTGAGAAATGGAGCTAATATTACCATTCACGTTCTTGTGAGGATCTCGAACTATCACGTGTAAAAGTAGTAAACAGAATATCGAGTAACAATTCATCTGAACAAATGTGACTTACTTATTGTTCTTGTTGGTACTGGTGGTAGTATTTTACGGAGGAACAATTATTCTTTCATTCATTAATTGAAGAAATAATCATTTGATGTCTGCTGTGTGCAGGGCTCCAGGTTAGGCACTGGAGAGGAGACAGATTCATTCTGGACACTCAGGAAACTTGCGTGGGTGTGAGGGAGACAGACAAGATATAAGCAGAACATTTTCTATAAGAATAAGTGTCACTAGGTATGGTAGCTCACCCCTGTCATCCCAGCACTTTGGGAGGCAGAAGCAAGAGGATTGCCTGAATACAGGGGTTCAAGACAAACCTGGGAAACTTGGCAAGACCTCGTCTTTACAATAAATAATAATAATAATAATAACTTAGCTGAGTGTGGTGGTGTGAGTCTGTAGTTTTAGCTAATTGGAAGGCTGAGGTGGAAGGATTGCCTGAGTCCAGCAGGTGGAGGCTGTGGTGGCCGTGAGCGTGCCACCGCACTCCAACCTGGGTGACAGTGAAAATCCGACTCAAAAAAATAATAATAATTTATTAGAAAGAAAAAGGCACACTTGAGGAAGGTGGGTGCCTTAAGAGAGAGCATGTGCTTGCATTTCACAATAAGCTTTATATAATTTTTCAATGATGATTAAGTAAATCACAAGCAGGTATTGGGTCACGAGTTCTGATGACCATCTCTCTACCTTCTAAAGTACAAGAACTGTCTAAATAATGAAAGTTATGGCCTAACCAGATTTGGGCTTTTTTTGGAAGATAATGTCTATGTTTTGGGTAATTCCCTGTTATTTCTGTGATTCCTGCACTGGTGGATCCACATTCCAGCCCACAAGGTGGTGGGGTCTGGCTGGGTCTTGCATGCCTGGTTGGAAGGGTGAAGGTCATGTACCCATAAACAAGATACCTGAATGTTTACCTTACTTTAATTTAAACTGCCTATGAGAAACTTATCTATGTCTAACCTGCACTGAATAACCTGCCTCAAAAGAAGAGGGATAGCTCTTGGGATAGGCCTTTTTTTTTTTAAATAAACATTTTATTTTGGAATACTTTTTTTTTTTTTTGAGTTCTAGTCTCCCTCTGTCACCCAGGCTGGAGTGCAGTAGCACACTCATGGCCACGGTAGCCTCGACCTGCTGGGCTCAGGTGATTCTTTTGTCTCAGCCTTCCAAATAGCTGAAAATACAGGCACGCAACACCAAGCCCGGCTAATTTTTTGATTTATTGTAGAAATGAGGTCTCCCCAAGTTGCCCAGGCTGGTGTCAAATCTGTAGGTTCAGGCAATCCTCTCACCTCGGTCTCCCAAAGTGCTGGAATTATAGGCGTGAGCCATTGCGCCCGGTCTTTTTTGGAATACTTTTATATTTACAGGGAAGTTACACAAATAATAGCGTTCCCCTGTTACTCCTGACTCAACTTCCCCTAATGTTACCATCTTAATGTTGTCATGGTACATTTGTCACAACTAAGAAACCCACAAGACCATAAAGTAAACTCCACACTTTTATTTGGATTTAATCAGTTTTTACACGGATGTTCTTTGTTTCTGTCACCCAGGCTAGAGTTCAGTGGTGTGATCATAGCTCTTTGCAGCCTCAAACTCCTGGCCTCAAGGTATTCTTCTGCCTCCCAAGTTGCTGGGTCTACAGGCAAACGTCACATGTCTGGCTAACTTAAAAAAATTTTTTTGGCTAGGTGTGGAGGCTCAAGCCTGTAATCCCAGTACTTTTGGGAGGCTGAGGCGAGAGGATTGCCTGAGTCCAGGGGTTCCATACCAGCCTGGGCAATTTGGTGAGACCTCATCTCTACAATACATTAAAAAAAAAAAAAAAAAATTGGCTGGGCGTGGTAGTGTGCCCCAATAGTTCCAGTTACTTGGAAAACAGAGGCAGAAGGATCGCCAGAGCCCAGAAGGTTGAGGCTGCGGTGGCCGGGAGCGTGTTCTTGCACTCCAGACTGGGTGACAGAGTGAGACCCCAACTCAAAAAAACAAAACAAAACAAGAAATCAAAAAAGTAGTTGGGCATGGTAGTGCGTACCTGTGGTTCCAGCTACTTGGAAGGCTGAGGCAGAAGGATCACCTGAGCCCAGCAGGTTGAGGCTACAGTGGACGTGAATATGTCACTGCACTCCAGCCTGGGCGACAGAGTGAGACCCCAGCTCCAAAAAATAAATACATAAAAATGAAAATAAAATTTTTTGGTGGGAGGAGAGACTGGAGATTGGGTCACGCTATGTTGCCCAGGCTGGTTTTGAACTCCTGGCCTCAAGCAAATCCTCCTGCTTCGGCCTCCCAAAGTGCTGGGATTTCAGGCGTGAGCCTCGGCGCCCACCTGAATATGATATTTCTTGCAAGGAGTTCACATCATTCCATTTTAAGGACGAGAAATCTCGGGTACTAGGGTCGCCCTGTGCTGGACGATGCTGGTGGCACTGAGTGGCCAGAGTAGGATATTTTTTTAAGAGAATTGACTTTCTTTTCCTTCCTGACGACTCTGATGAGAACCCAAATCTCTGTCTCGGATGCTCGTAGGGTTGCAGTCCCCGCTCCGGTACTTAAAAGCGTGACCTCAGCAAGCTGCTTAGGCTTTCTGAGTTTGTTTCTTCGCGAGATAGTGTTCCCTGCTCAATTCTAGAGTAATAGGATTGTTTCTAGCTTGCTTTTTTATTGCTTCTCCTGTTACTGCGATTAGGGTCCGACGCCGCTTGGAAACCAGGAGTCTGACCTCTTCGCTTACCACGTACCTGGTCCTTTAAGGCCCTCCCTCCCACCTCCTTTCTGCCTTCCACCACGCCCTCCCGCCGCGCTAGGAGAGGGGAGGCGGGATCTTGTGTCGCTAAGGAAATGCCCTTTGCTCGGCTTGCAAAATTGACAGGCAAGTTCTGGAAACGAACCAATCAACTCCTACGTCATGGCCAGCGAGGCGTCCGATTTGTCGGAGAGCCCCGCCCACTCCTGTGACGTAAGGTAGCGTGGGCCATCACCTTTAGCTCTGATTAGCCAGAAATTCGCGTAGCCTCTGAGTCCCCCCCCCGTGGAAGTCCGCACGCCAGCACCCTCGCTCTTTGATTGGCTGTTCTTCTGAGAGTCAGCTTCGCTCTCTCCCTCTGATTGGCTAGCGCCTTTCCGCGCGTTCTTGAATAAATTTTGTTATGGTCTTTGTCCGCGCTCCTGCGAGGTGGTCTCGCCGTCGTCCGGGAGACTCAGCCCGGGCTTGGAGGTGCTGAACGGAGCTAGGAAGGGAGGGGGTCACGGGTTGAGGGGAGAATCCCGCTCAGGCGTCCCCTGGGCCCGCCGAGGAGCCCTGTTGCCCATTTGCCGCTTAGGACCAACCCCTTCCTTTCACTGCCCTTCGCCGGCCTTAGATCCTCAGAGTCCCAAGAATTCACCTTCAGGATCCCTATTCCATGGGGGCTCCCGGACTTCCTTAAGCCCTCTCCCCCCTTACTTCTCCGACCCCACCTCTAGATCCTGGGATCCCTGAGCGCCAAGGCCTCCAGATCTTGGGGGTACCTCTCACTGCCACCCCTGCCCTATGTTTACCCTCTCTCCTCCCTCCCCTTTTCTAGACCCGGGAAATCATCCTTGCCTCTCTTCCCTAATATCTCCCTCAACCCGAGAGGGGCTTACCTCACTATCCCTTCTCAGCGCTGTCGAGGTCCAGGGGTCCCCTTTAGACTTTGCCCTGGGGATTCTACTTCTTCATCCCTCTTCCCCTCTGTTCTAGATCGCAGTCTCTCTGAGGACTTGGAGAATCGCGTAGAGTACAAGGAATGTCTCCAGCTCACACGGTCAGTGTCTTAGTCTATTCTTCCGGCTGCTGTAACAAAATACTATAAACTGAGTGTAAGGGTAAACTGAGGCAAGGTAGGCCAGGGAAGCGGAAATAAAGAAGATCTGCAAAAAAGAAGGAAACAAAGTTTATTATTCACTTCCCACAAACAGAAAGGGGCCAAAGCTCACAGTCAAACATAGCATACACGCTTTTAGGAGAGAGGGCTTTTAAAAGATTCTGTAAGGAAACAGGGCTAAGAAAAATCTCCCACAAATGTGTTCTTGGGTGTTGATAATGCTGGTCTTGCTTTCTTGTTTTTTGTTTGTTTGGCATTAGGAACACTAGCTTTTTTTGTTTGTTCGCTTGTTTTTTTTGTTTTGTTTCTTACTCATTTGACAGCATTTTCTCTCAAAGGCGAAACATAGATTTACCTATATCAGAATCACTTGGGCCTCGCCCCAGAGAAACCGGATCAGAAGTCTTGGAGTGCCACTGGGTATTCTGCTATTTTATCATGCTCCCAAGCTGATGGCTTACGTACACATTTCCCAGACCTGTCTTATGGAAGCAATAAATAGAAATGTATTTCTTAGCCGGGTGTAGTGGCTCATGTCTGTAATT